AAAAAAAAAAAAAAGAGCCCTGCCCCTATGTCCCTCTTTTTAGAGTCCTAGAAGATTATTCCATTCTCACTTTGGGATTCAGCTTCCTTGAGTGCCACTGCTTCTTTTTGCTTCCTGCTCACTTGCTCTCTTGGCAGAACTGACCATTGAAACTTTCTCAGTCAGATGGGGCAGATAGGTTTTCTTGGACTGCTGTTGCTGGCTTTTCCCTTCTTTGGTTTATGTCTAATCATAGTCATCTTTCTCTTAGGACTCTAAGTCCTCAAGTGAAAGAGGAGATCATCTGCATGATTCAGAACGCTTTCAACTTTAGTCTAAAACAGTCCAAGCACCTCTTGCAAATCCTGATGGAGTGTATGGTGTACAAGGATTCTGTAAGTGATGAGTTTTTGTTTTAGCTAACTTTAAAAATTGCTGATTTCCAACAATTTTAATATTTCTATTTATTTGCACAATGTTTCAAATTATGGGGTTTTTCATTTTTAACTAGACTATATGCAGTTCTACTGAACTTAATCCTTAGTTGAGTAAACTTGGTTTCTTACTGCCTGCTCTCTAGGCTTCAAATTCCAGAGTCTACCCAAAAAATAATATATATATATAAAAAAACACATAGATCACATAGCAGTGTTACAGAAAAGCAATCAAATTTAGTGAAATTACACATAAATATTTTCAGAGGGGTAAGGAAGTAGCTCTAGGTCTTAAGTGAACTCAAGGGTGTTAGGTTAAATGATATGCATCATAGCATCCTGAGTAGATCCTGCAGGAAGTCATTGGACAATAGGAAATGTGAGAATATACTGTGGGAACACTCAGCAGTTCTCAAGCTCAATGAACTGAAGCAATAATTCAAGCCTTGAGTTGCAATATTGAAAGATTTTGTGGGAAACATAGTGAATGACATAGGAAGCATCAAAGAAGATGGAAAGAATACACAGAATCACTCTACCAAAAAGAACTAGTTGATGTTCAACCATTTCAAGAGGTAGTGTATGATCAAGAACTGACAGTATTGAACTAAGAAGTCCAAGCTGCACTAAAGACATTGGCAATAAACAAGGCTACAGGAATTGATTGAATACCAGTTGAAATGTTTCAACAAATGGATGCAGTGCTGGAGGTGCTCACTCATCTATGCCAAGAAATTTGGAAGACAGGGTTCCAGTAAGATAGTGGAATAAGCAGAAAGACTGCACAGACCCTCTTCAGCAAGGAAAAGGGGAACCAATTAATACAGATACAGAAAATAATCCTGAAGGCCTGAGCTTTGAAGGGAAGTATATAGAAGTGGACTAAACTCCAACTAGTAGAAGAATTTGCATGAAAACACCAAAAAAGGAGACATACAGAGCTACGATCTGGTAGTGATCCTGACGGAACAGACAGCTTGGTTATTGCTGAGTGGTGTTAGGACTTAAGAATTAACCTAAAAATCAGCCCTGCTAGCCAGGGTTTGCACGGAGGACTGCTCTGGTGGCTGGTGAATAAAAGGGGAAACAGTGAAGAGGAAGGTGGGCTGAGCTGTGGACTTTTGCCTGTCTGGAGGGTGCAGCCATTTTGAATGTTTATAAGCAGTTTGACCATTTTTGATATTTAAAGTGACAGCATTCTCCCAGATTCCAGGGACTTAAAAATAGGCTCCACTTGCTGGGAACCACAAAGACATTCCAGATGCCAAAGACTGGAAAGGTGCAATATTCCCCTTGTTACTCTTATACCACACACTCTCTTGGTGAACAGAGATGTGGTCATCCCTCACTCCCACCCACCTTCTGGGCTGGCAGGAATTCCATCCCAGTCTGTGTGCTTGGATGGAGCCTGGGTGCCCTGCCCTGCCCTGTCCAGATTTTTTTTTTTAGTTTGTTTTTGTCTGTTTTAAAA